GTCGGAAAAATATGTCATCTAATTGAGAGTCCACTAGAATCGAGAGGAAAACTACAATTTGGGAGGAAAAGTCTCACACTGCCATTCTTAAAGAGCAACACAATTCACTCTTTTTTTTATTACAAGCCTTAAACACGCCACCTCTAATATTGCACTAACTTCGTGCGGTATACCGATGAGGTCAGTGCAATGTTGTACCGTATATGTGCAGTAACACAATACTGTGGACATCAAAAAGTGCGGTGACCTCCATCGCGAGACACAAACTCACTGCAACTTACTTAAGTTTTTTTTAGCAAGTTGTAGAATACAATATATTATGTCTTTATATTTATTAAAAAAGAATATACAAACTATGGGGAAGTTAGGATGACTATTTTCCTAAGTTTTAAAGTGTAAGAGGAAAGTGACATGGTAATTAACGTGGGTGAGATGTTAGATAATACGCTTAGAGTAAAAAAAATAATAATCATGCAATATTAGTGACAACATTATTTTTCTTGTCATTTAAAATATTATGTAATTGATTTTGATGTTCATTTGGTAACTGGTATCAAATCTGGTTTTTAAAAACCAAAAAGCCATTCGTCATATGAACCAGTAAAACCGGTAAAAACCAATAAAGTATATATATATATATATATATATATATATATATATATATATATATATATATATATATATATATAAATTTCAATTTTTATTTAATTAAAATTAATAATAATTTAATTATAACAACTTCCAGTATTTCTGGTTTTTTAAACTGATTTGACCAATTGCACTATCAAACCAGTAAGAAAACCCGCGGTTTTTGGTCCGTTTTCAAAACCTTGCATTTAAGTAGACTATGAGTAAATTATTAAAATCATCTTTATGGTCCTATCAATACTATGTGTTTGGCGATCATTTTCTTTTTGCATTCGGGAAACTTTATTGTTCTTTTTATTTTTGTTTTTTGTTTTTGTTTTTGTTTTTTTTATAGACATGAAAACTATGTTGTCCTTTTATCTTTTATTCTCTTAATATTTATGCTTTTATCTTTTATTCTCTTAATATTTATGGGTTTGGTCCTCCACCACCTTCCCTGTTAAAAAAAAATTGGCAACCACCACTTGAAAAATCAAATCAAAACCTGATACAATAGTTAACGTAAAGGGAATTAGGGAACAAACAGAATTGTTAAGATTTATTACTTTTGCCTGATCATTTTCCACTAAAATTACCCAGATTCCCCAATTATCTCCTTTCAGATCGGTTTCATGATTTCAAATACATATGTCATGCTGAAGAAGCCGCATGGAGAAGTCTGAAGTCCATGTTCAAATCCTGGCACCACTCAGCCCTTGTGGCCATGGAGGTTCGCCTGCAGTGACTCCAGGACATGAAGCAAAGCTTTATGTTTGCAGCGGGGGATTAATCGGTGCGCGAAAGCTGGCCCGGAAACCCTCGTTAGGGAAGTTCCCTTTCCAAAAAAAAAAAAAAAAAAAGAAGAGAACAAGTAATAACCAATTAAGACAAGCTAATGGGTGTTGCTGTATAGAGCAAAAAAGATCGAGTGATCAGGGCGCTTGTAACCTTGAAATATTGATTAAAATCTAAAAAGACACTTTTTTCCCTCGTAATTACCCAAAAGATCAATGCTTTCTGTGCAATCAAAGTAGAATATCATTCTTGGTATTCCTTGATATTCCTGGTGCACTTTTGTTATCCTTTTAATTTCCCAAATGGCTTGGATCGTTAATATATATATATATATATATATATATATATATATATATATATATATATATATATATATATATATATATATATATATAAAGGGTTATATGGAAAAGAAACAATTAGGGTAACACATGTTGGAACCAATGAAAACATGACAACATATCATTTTGGAATAACTACATAAACAACTTCCATAATAGATTGCTTATGAATAAAGAAATGGACATGTGTCACTTGATCATTGGTTCGAGTATATGTTGCCCTAATTGTTCGTTTTCCATTGAACCTACTTATATATATATATATATATATATATATATATATATATATATATATATATATATATATATATATATATATATAGAGGGTAAAGTGAATATACCTAACAACCTTATATAAACTTAGGTACCTAACTCCATAATATTACATCGGTTTGTATGAGAAATGAAAGGATGTAAGAGAAATATAATGATGAATTTGCAATTTTTTTTTGAAGTAAATCAAGTTTAGGGATGAAGTTTAAGAACCTTGGATGATTGCAATGAAATTTAATGCAAAATCACGTAGCTTGATGAGGTTAGGTACCTAAGCTTATATAAGGTTGTTAGGTATATTCACTTTACCATATATATATATATATATATATATATATATATATATATATATATATATATATATATATATATATATATAGACAAAATTGCAAAAATGGTCCCTGTGGTTGGTAAAAATCTGTAGTTTTGGTCCAAAACGAAATGTTGGTGCACCACTAGTCCAATTTTAGATATCTTGTGTTGTTTTAGTCCCTATGATTAACATTTTTGTGTGTTTTTAGTCCAGACCCAACCTGAAATGACGAATATGCCCTTTGATATATTTTTTATATTTTTTGTATTTAATTTAATGTTTTATTATTAATAAACATTCTCTCTCTCTCTCTCTCTCTCTCTCTCTCTCTCTCTCTCTCAATCGTCATCCCAATTTCCGGCCATCTACACTCCCATCAAACCCTTACCCAACACCGCCCTCTGGTCTCTCCTCGCTAACTCCTTCCCTACCACTTTAATTTCCGGTCGTCTGCGACAGAGCAAGCATGTTGGTGATTAAATTAGGGTTGCGACGGAGCAACTCTGCCGGATCTGTTCGCCATCAATGATACGAAGAAAATACCAGTTGGTGTTGCGAGGATCGAATCGAGGAATTTGGGGTTCTCGAGTTTTGCAGAGCCGGTGTTGGATACGAAAGTATATGAAGAAGACTACGAAGAAGAAGAACATGATGACGATGACGATAAAATTAGGTTTCTGATGAGGTATTTGTGTGAAATGAAGTTGATGATGATGAAATTGAAGAAGAAGGGGATCTGAAGACGACGAAGAAGAAGATATCATCTTCTTTCCGTTACCAGTCGTGCTTTACAGACGAGATCCATAGTCTCTTAATTTCAGTTGGTCGATCGACATAGAATGTTATTGGTTTGAAACTGAGGGGTGTGGATGAAGCTTACTATGATGACAGGGATGGTGGCAGTTCGGAGACGGTCGGTGGCAACAGCAGCAGGCGGCAGCGATGGTGTCGGAGCTCCACATTAGCAACGACAACGGGCGGTAATGGCAGCATCGCTGCTTCATTTCCTGTTCCGACAAGCTCGATGATGATGGAGGCGAACGGAGCTGGGTATGGTGGATGGAAGAAGTAGCAGTGACGACGATATTTGTTGGTGGAGGAAAGAGCTCCAGCGGTAGGGGGCTGGTCCGACAACCTTATGATTCTTCGTCCTTGTTTAGGCTCACCGGGAAAGACAAGGGTCGAGATGGAGTAGGATATGGGATGAGGTTTGATGGTGATTCACGGTGATCAAACATCGGTGGTGGTTATTGATGGAGACAACAACGGTTCCTAATGGTTTTTGGTGGTAAGCTCCCAAAACCGGAAGAAGGCAGTAGATGGTGGTGTTTTGAGGCTCGCTTGATGGATTTTAATGGCAGCAGAGGTGGTGTTCAAAATAAAGAGACAAAAACAAATGCTTAACCTTTTTGTGTAAACCATAGTGAACCAGGAAGAAGAAAAGAATTCTATTTTCTTGATCTAGCAAGTTGACTTTCACAAGAACTCTTAACAGAGAGAGAGAGAGAGAGAGAGAGAAAGAGAGAGAGGCCTTTTTCTTAATTTTAATTAATGAAAACATTTGATTAGATATATAAAGCAAATTAAAAATCAAATATAAGGGTATAATAGTCTTTTTATGTTGATAGGGACCAAAAACAATAGAAAGATTCAATTTTGGACCTGTGGTGCACCAACATTTCGTTTTGGACCAAAAACACATAAATTTGCCAACCACAGGAACCATTTTTGCAATTTTGTCTATATATATATATATATATATATATAATATATATATATATATATATATATATATATATATATATATATATATATATATATATATATATATATATATACAGGGGCGAATCCAAGGGGATCCCGGGGTAGCCCGGGATACCCCTCAAATTTTTTTCGGTAGTGTAATTTTTGTTTACGTATCCTTCAAAAAAAATTTGGTATAATGTATATATACGCATTCATCCACTTATAAACATAAACAAACAGTTGGTCTGTTGGTTAAGGCTTTGGCTTATTCAAGCAAAGGTCTTGAGTTCTATTCTCGCTTCTTACATATTCTTTGTTAATTTTTGTTTTATTTTCCCAACTATTCTATCCCACTTCGCTAAACACATGTAAACTCAATCATTTTTTTCTATTATATAAACCTGTTATGCTCATGCTTTATTTGATATCTACTTTGAGTCCCATATCGGTTCAAGTATCAAAATATACTTCAACTTCATGTTTATATAACAAGACTTGAGGTTAGCTAAGGATTCGATTAGGATTTGGGTTTAAAACCGAACCCGAACCCGGGAAACCCAAGTACCCCAGGAAAAAAATTAGGTTACTCTAAAAAAAATTAGGATACCCCTTTACTTTGATACTAGCTCCGCCACTGTGTGTGTGTGTATATATATATATATATATATATATATATATATATATATATATATATATATATATATATATATATATATATATATATATATATATATATATATATATATAGAAAGCGAAAGGAGTAAGATTGATGCCAAAAGATAGATGCTAAGTTGAAAGTTTCAAGCAAATTAATTATTCTCGGAACTTATGCAGGCTCCACTTTTGGCTATTATATATTAAGCATCTTAAGGTTTGTTTTTATGACTCCATCATTTCAAGTAACAAATCAAGTTATGTCCTCAACAGAAAAGCAAAGGTATAGAAATAGCCTTTTCTCTTTCTTTCTTACACCCTTTCAGTCTCTTTGTATGTATTTATGCATCTGGAAATTCTGCATATATGTTTATTAAGTAGAGAAAACTACACGTTCATGCTTGTAGAGATCGATTATCCCCTTGGCCCTAATTAACGGTTGTATCATCGCGTTAATGTTGTATTTCTAGTGATGCTTGTAGTCATATGCACGACGGAATATATATATATATATATATATATATATATATATATATATATATATATATATATATATATATATATATATATATATATATATATATATAGTCATGGAAGTAGTTTTAGTGTAGGAACTCAGTTTTTTTAAAGGATATCTATTGTACATACAAAAAATTAACTCGATTTTTTAAGATGCAAAAAAAAAAAAAAAAAAACTGCAAATAGTCATTACATATTAGTTTTATAATCGATTTACTTATATATATATATATATATATATATATATATATATATATATATATATATATATATATATATATATATATATATATATATATATTTAATTAAGTCCCAAAAACTGATAATCACATTCAATTTAACCCTTTTATTGGTCATCCAACTTTCAAAAATTACACTTTTAGTTTAGATTTTAAATTTTATTACAGATTTGATCCAAAATTTACATTTTTGGCTAATATTTTAATTTTTATTACAAATTCATTTTTTCTCAAAAAAAAAAAAAAAATCGAAAATGTTTTTCCTTTAAAATTCATATTTATACAAAATAAAGAACATATTTTTACATAAAAAACTTATATTTTCTATATAGAAACTATTTTAAAAATATGTTTTTGTATACGAAATACATGTTTATAAAAATAAGTATTTATTAAGTACATAAATATATACAAATTCGTTTTTATAAATATATATATATATATATATATATATATATATATATATATATATATATAAACATATTTATAAAAAAAATTAATACAAACACCTACTTCATAGTAAAGATATATGTGTATGTATTATTTTTATTCGGTAATAAGTATGATTAGACACCTAACTTTGACATTAAGGTAATGAAAAAAGTGAACCCCTAATAGTGAAATCTAATTTGTTTTGGAATATGGTAACTTATAACTTGAAAATTAACCTATTTTGATAGATTATTTTGGGTTTAAAACAAAAATATAATGTTTTGTCAGTTGAAAAAAAAAGTTGTCTGACAGTAAATTTAGTTTTTTAATTTGAAGACACTTTTTTTTTTTATCTTGGGTCAAAATTCAAAATAAATTATGAATATGAGTTGTTATTTTATGGTATTAATTCTTATATATCTATTATTTAGAGTATACATTTAGAAGGATAAATTAATTGTCGATAATTTACTTCTCAGATGATGTTTTTTTTTTATTTTTTTATTTTTTATTTATCAAGAACATGTTTATATATATATATATATATTATAAAAGCATGTTTGTATGCAAAGTGTTTATAAAATGTGTTTGAATATATTTTTATAAAAAAAACATGTTTGAATAAATTTTATTTATATGTAACATCTCAAAAATCAAGACCAAAAATTTTATTTTTAATTAGGGAATTACAAAACCAGTAGTTCAAAAATATTCATAATATCATCCATGTCAAAAGCCGATATGTCACTAATCAAAACATGTCATAGTAAAACAACATCAGAGTATGACTTCCGAAGATCTCATGTGCGGAAACCATGGTGTGATGTGCTGCAATTATGCCAACTTCTTTCCCTTCAAAGAAGAGGTATCTGAAACCAAAACTGAAAACCGTAAGCATAAAACTTAGTGAGTTCCCCCATCATACCACATACCATATAATAAATACATTGCCAAGCATATATGAGTGATGGCCTCCCCTTCGGTCTAATTCATCCGGATACTGCCGAGCATATTTGGGTGTTGGCATCCCTTTCGATTTATTTCAACCGGGTACTGCCGAGCATATAGGGTGCTAGCCCTCCCTTCAGTTTATTTCAACCGGATACTGTTGAGCATATTTGGGTGTTTGCTTCTCCTTCGGTTTATTTCAACCGGATACTGCCAAGCATATCAGAGTGTTGCCCCCCCCCCCTCGTTCGGTCTATTTCAACCGAATACTGAGTTTAATTAACCCCTACTACTAGCACATAATATCGTAACAAGTAAGTACATAAAACATAACAAATAGTGGCATACCAGACAATTATCACAAAGACAATCATCTCTACACAAAAACTACTAGTGGTTGGCATTGGTGCATTCGACCCATTCATACGGGAAGGTAACTCACCTCGCAAAGTTGAATGCAAAATTTCATGGTAAAAAATCTCTAACGGAAGCTCTGAGTGCTCCTCGAGCTATCATTACCACAATAACACTTAACCAAAAACTAATACTCATTCTTAGGGAAAAATGACCATATTACCCCTAATCTAATTTGGCCAATGTCTAAGGCCCAACACCATAACATGAAAGGACCAAATTTAAATAGTCTTCCCAAACCCACTAGTGGCCCACTAATGGCCCAGTTTTTTTAATTGGGTCAAACTCCTCAAATGGGCCTTATCGAAATTCTAACATACTCTTAGCCTAGAATAAATAATTTCTGATGGCCCATTATGGCCAAAAAGGCCCAATACCATAAATCTCAGTTCTAGGCCTAGAGGCCCTACTCCACAATGGGCCATGAAGCCCAACAATCCAGGCCCAAACTTCTAAGGCCCAAAAACCCATACCCATTACTCTGTATGCGTACACGCGGCGTACTTGGAACATATGCCCAACATACGTTGGCCTTTACTAGAAGCGGGAAGTTGACCCAGTATGCGCATCGTACCAAGGTGTATGCCCAATGTATTGGCTAACTTCCTTAAGAATCCTTTTGTGACTTAATCCATTAAGTCCTAACGTCCAAAAAATAGATCCAACCCCTTTAAGACATCTTAATCCATAAAGTTACAAACTTTATGTCTTTGCATGCATAGATGGGGGTTAAAAACATGATTTAAGTCCTTAAACAAACTTTGTGGCCATCAAACACTTACATGGTTGTGGCTTAAGCATCAAAGTTTGGTTTTTATGACTCTAAATGCTTCTAATAGCTCAAAAGGATAACTCTTATGTCCTGGAACTACCAAGACACTAGAAAATCAACAATGGAGTCAAAATAACCCATAAAACACCCCAACACTACAACTAAGTATGCAATGGTCAAGTTTGAAGCTTGATACCTCAAATGATTCAGAAACGATGCTAATCCCCTGGATCTACAAGCTCTCTTCAAGTCCTTGCTCCCGCTTCAAACTTCTTTCTCTTAAAAATCACGAAAACAACACCAAAATGCTCAAAGTAAGCTCCAAAATACAAACAATATGGTTAGGGTTTGAGTTGGGCATTGAGAGGACAAGGGAGGCTGAGATGATAAGGTGTTTGAAGATTATAAGTTGTTTAAATAGGGTGCAAACCTTAAAATTTAGGGTTTGCATCTGGTCATAGTACGCCCAACATACGCATGAAAGTCCCCCGATCTGCACCTCATAGGCGTACATTGTGCGTACACCATGTACTCCCCGCGTACGCTCTGCCCCAAAATCCCATTACTTTAACAATT